CATCCTCCGTAGACTGGTACAGATGCATGAGTGCCAGACCTCTTCATATCTCCTAATGGCTCCGTCACCTATGCGGCAATCAGATCGGCTTCACACGTTGCGGGAGTTTCTGATCATACAGTGCGAGTTATTTTGGCTCTAAACGGCATCCCTAAATCCTAAGCCCTGAACCCCAAACCCTAAAACCTAAAACCCTAAACCCTAAACCCTAAACCCTAAACCCTACAATACAAGTCATGTTGGCTCCATGCAGTATGCAGGAACCCAAGGACTCAAGTAGAAAAAAAACACACAAAAGGCCTGAGACAAGGTTGTCCTCCCTCCCCCTTCCTTCTCTCTTTTGCACTTACTCACCTCTTTTACGAATGGAAGCTTAATATTCGTCATCAATGGGGACATGTCCTCTGGGTCGAAGCCTCTGTGCTTCCCCAGGACCCTCCACAACCCTAAACCTCCCCCGCCCAAACCCTCAACCCTCAACCCTCAACCCTCAACCCTGAACCCTGAACCCTAACCCTAAACCCTAAACCCTAAACCCTAAACCCTAAACCCTAAACCCTAAACCCTAAACCCTAAACCCTAAACCAACCCTAAACCCTAAACCCTAAGGGGTTATGATTCAGGGTTCCGGTGTTTGGGTCGACCTTCTAGGGTTTAGGTTTCTTTAGCCCCAGGCTTCTCGAGCACGTCCCCACATCCCGACCCCTAGCACTGAAGACTGAAGAACCCCCAATCCGAGCCGCTAACCTAAACCCTAACCCCTAAACCCTCAACCCTCAACCCTGAACCCTGAACCCCACCCACAACCGCAACCATGCAGGCCATGCCGCATCAATCCCTGCGCCAGGGCCCAGATTTGCATCGCGAAGGTCGGGCGGTTGAGGACCTCTTCGCGGGTGGGGCTATTTCTAGGGATGCCATGTGCGCGAACTCCTCGCGCGCCTTGGCGCCTTCCCAAAAGAGGATTCCCTGACTCGTCGGGCTAGGAGGAGGTACTGGAGTTGGGTGCATAAGTGCGGGAAGTGTCGCTTGCTTAAGACTTCTACCCAACACGGCATCTGCATGCCACGTCTTCTGCCCTTTAGGTTAGGAGTTCAGGGCCTAGAGCTAGAGTTGAGCAAAAAGAGCAAAAAGTTGTGGCCTTCTTGGCGTAGGCGCCGATAGCGATCATGGCGGCCGACAGGATCATTCCTGCTTGGAGGAAAGTGCGTGCTTTTCCGATGTCGAGACCCTAAGCCCGAAGTGGGGATCGAACAAGGGACCCCCCGAAACATTGGCCGGGCAACTCTTGCTCTGCCTTAGTTCATCATGGCTCTAACCCCTAAACCCTAAACCCTCAAACCCTCAAACCCTCAACCCGAGACCCTAATTCCTGCTTGCCTTCATGTTTGGGTATCCAGACTGCGACTCTCCAGCTTGGGAAGTTGACCGGGCACAGTGACCAGGTACGAGGCGCAGGGGGAGTTGGGTGTTGGGATTTGGGGCTTTGGCAGTCTTGGCTTCGGGATGGGGAGTTGGGGTTCGGGGAGTGCGTTAGGGTCTTGTGGAAACGGATTTGGGGCTTGGGTCACCGATGACTTCTACTACTTGGAGTTTCATGGGTAGATAAACCTGAGGTACCGCAGAGGCAGCACACAAGCACCCTTAGATGGCCTTGAAAAACCCCTGAAGAATATTCTTACATATGATTCTCTTAAACCCAAGGAGGGAAAACGTTAAATATCCCAAGGGCCTACCTACTAGTTTTGGCCGGCCTGGAGAGGATCGGCCTTCAAAGACGTGGTCGCCGTCACAGCCGCTGGGCCAAATCCCGGCGATGAGGCCTGCGAAGATCACAGAGCAAGCCCGAAGCCCTAAGCGCCTGAGCCATAAGGCGCAGGTTTTAAATGAAGAGTTCGCAACGCAATCTTGGGCACAAAGATTGAACGACGTCTCGTGGAATGAGACATTCTTGGCCATTTTTCTTAATTTGGATCCTAAGGGTGCTGTACTATATATAGGACCGGAAAAAGTACCCTACAGTGGCCCTACAGACAGTAATTTAGAGAACTACCGACTTGGTAACATTCTGGAAGACTTGGGGTTAACTTTGCTGGGTTTGGGGTTTAGGGGTGAGGCTTCTGGCCTTAAGCAAGGGGACTGTTAGGGGCATTCTCTGCCACCCCCCACCGGAACTACCCCGCACCCAAGTCAGGCCCCAACGTTGACCGTATTGTGGGAGTGGGTACTTAGGCTGGGCTGCTGTTGAGGAACTTGAAGTAGGTTACCATCATATGCACGTCTGAAAATTCCCTGGTTTCCTGTTTTTTTGTGGCCTCTGGATGTAAACGGGGTACTACACCAGCTTGTGATTGGAACAGACTACAAAACCGAAGCCCCAAACCCGTACTTAACCCGCCACGATTTTCCCGGGACCATGACACAACTCCGGATCTCCGACTCCTCGCGAATAGAGCTTAGGGCTTTAGGTTCAGGGTTTTGGGTTTAGGGTTTAGGGTTTAGGTTTTAGGTTTTAGGGTTTAGGGTTTAGGGCTTGTAGCGGTTGGATCAGAGGGGGCTGTAGACAGCGAGCACTCCGCCACAAAGCAACCCGGCGGATATGCACCGGGTTGGTAACTACAACCCTGTGTTTGTGTTTGGCCACCCATAGAGGGCGCAAAAACCAAACTGGGCTTAGGGTTTAGGGCTTGTTGAGGGTCTAGGGTTTAGGGGTTAGGAAGCTTACTACGCCAGAGTCGTGGGGCATTGCTACCGACTCCTCGCGCGAACCTGGGGCTCGAAGCGAAAAAAAAACCACGCCTCCACAGTAGAATGATGCACAGATGCCCAAGATCTTCAGAGCGTCCGGATTGCCAGTCGCGAAGAAGCGACCTCGCACGGCCGCTGTAGCTGCAGCACTTGACTTGGAGCTTTCCCCGAAAATACAAGCAGATACGAGTAGGGAAGTATCGCCTGACTTGCGTCTCTTATCACCCTACGTAAAAAAAAAAAAAAAAAAAAAAAAAAAAAAAAAAAAAAAAAAAAAAAAAAAAAAAAAAAAACCACACTAGACCCCTCCAAGCAGCCGAGCACCAAAGAGGGCCTTTTGAAAATGGGGACCCTAAAGGCATCAATCCCCTTATCCCCCGAACCCTAAACCCTAAACCCTAAACCCTAAACCCTAAACCTAAACCCGAAGACTGGGGGCGCCTGAGTTCACCATACCGCCGGACGTGTAGCCCACCGGTGTACCCAGCTCCTGAAGCGCCACACCTTGCTGTCGACATGGGGGCTTAGGGTTTAGGGGTTTAGGGTTTAGGGTTTAGCGTTCAGGGTTCAGGGCTTAGGGTTTAGGGCTTAGGGTTTAGGGTTTAGGGTTTAGGGTTTAGGGCTTAGGATTCAAGGTCCTTTTTTTAAAGGGGGGGTTATATGAAGGGGGGTTCCACGACACTTCAGGATCCCAAATTTGTGCCTTTTCTTAGGGGTTCCCAAAAACAAGATTTACAGCATCTTGGGAAGCGTAGGGGTAGGGTTTAGGGTTTAGGGTTTAGGGTTTAGGGTTTAGGGTTTAGGGTTTAGGGTTTAGGGTTTGGGGTACCGGTACCCCTGTCTTAATGGAATGCCCACATCTTGGCGGCATAGCATGGGTGCTACGGCTCGCAGTGCCTCTGCTTCATGCTTTCCAAGGCTTGCAAGAAGTCTCTCCCGACTCTTCTTCTCGGCCCTAAACCCTAAACCCTAAACCCTAAACTCTAAACCCTAAACCCTAAACCGGGATTGCGCAACAATGCTGCGTTCAGCCAGGTTCTGCGGCTGCTCTATTGGATGACACGGGATGACCCAAGGCCTCGGGCCAAATAAACATGCCTAAACCATGAGGAATACACTGCAAGAGAAATTCAAAAGGGCTCCAAATATGTGCAAACCATGAGGAATTGAATACAATGCAAGAGAAACCCCAAAAAGGGTCCATACTTCAGCTGCAGCGTCTGAACGCTCCAGCACCAAGGCATTGCTACTGACAGGAGCAAACCGAGGCAAGCACCATTGAGGGCACCAGAGATGATGCAGTAGAAGCCTGACACTTGGAGCTTAATGATTCGGTGTAACTGGGGTTCTGGTAACTAGTAACTAGGGTCACAAGTGGACTCTACTTAGAACTACAGGATCCTCGCTGCGCTAGGGGTGAACCTTGGGAAAGCAACCCTACAAACCCTAAAAACCCTAAAAACCCTAAAAACCCTAGACCCCCTAAATCCTAAGTTGCTGTTAAAGCCCTGGCTCCGCGCCTGCCACGCACAGGATCTTGCTGAAGTCCGGCCGCTTGTCCAAGGGCGTGCGCTGGTAGGTCGGCGACGTCATGGCGACAAGGAAACTGCCCAGTGACTTTGAGCGGAAGCAGCTGCAGAGGCAGGAGGCATGTGATAAGGGCTGCCTTAGGGTTTAGGGTTTAGGGTTTAGGGTTTAGGATTTAGGGTTTAGGGTTTAGGGCTTAGGGTTTAGGGTTTAGGGTTTAGGGTTTAGGGTTTAGGGTTTAGGGCTTAGGGTTTAGGCTTGGAGATAGAACAGCAGCTGCAACACAGACCTCACTGCCGAAGGAAGGCAACCTTTTAGTGGTAATCGTGCAGACATGGTGGCGATCCGTTGGTCTAGTACCCGCGAACCCAGGTGCAAAGACATCCAATGACCGAACACTCTCTAGACCCCGCCGCAGCTGCAACATGTGGGCTGTTGTAAGCTCGGACCGGACCCCTCATAAATACCTTGTGTAGGACTTCTCACCTACTTCCTAAACCCTACAAACTAAACCCTGAAACCCTACAACTCAAACCCTCGAGCCCTGCGGCCTACACCATTAAACACTCCAACCCTTGTACCTCCACCCTCAAACCCTGCAGCCGTGCAACCGCGGCTTCATCTTTAGGGTTTAGGGTTTAGGGTTTAGGGTTTAGGGTTTAGGGTTTAGGGTTTAGGGTTTAGGGTTTAGGGTTTAGGGCTCTCAGCTCTCTGAGCATCCGCGCCTACCAGCGCCGACCTTCCTTCAACTTTCAGGAAGCCTCGCCGCCATGATTCGAGTCATGGACGAGAGAGAAGATCGAATCAACGAGCTTGGGCGGGTTTGGGCTTTAGGGTTTAGGGTTTAGGGTTTAGGGTTTAGGGTTTAGGGTTTAGGGTTTAGGGTTGAGGGTTTAGGGTTTAGGGGTAGGCAACCAACTGAAGGGAAGCTGATGAAACACGAGCAGCAGTGGCACACCTGCACAAAGCACTTTTCGGTCACAAGAGATAAACAGGCCGGCCGCACCCATGCCACGGAGCAAGAGGCGGTGGAGTCATCGGCAACACCATGTTACCCTAAACCGCAGTGCTTACACCTGCTAACAGTGAAAAGTGGTCCCTGCAGACGGTGCATGTGTGGCAAATCTTAAACCTAAGAAACCTGAAACGTCGAGCGTCCCTGCCGTGACGAAGCTGGTGGCTCGTTCATGCTTTCGAGGTTTGCGACAGGTACGTTGCCCTGGGTTGCATCGCACCTTTAGCCCATGGCTTGGGCCAAGGGTCAAGGGGGTGTCCGAAAATGGGGGACCCCTTTTTAGGTGTTCCCATTGCAAGGATTATAGCTTTCTGGGGTACATCCCCCCCTATCTTGGGAAGTACCTATTTGTCGAACAGACCACCCAAATTCCGTGCCCAACATCCAGCAAGATGATCCCGTTCGACCCAAAGTTGGTGCCAGCAGAGCCTTGGACATGAGAGCTAAGCACAGACACTCCTTCACAAAGAAAAGGCCTGCCTCGGCAGCACTCCCCTATTCAGGGTTTAGGGTTTAGGTTTGTACACACACTCAACCCTGCAGAATCCCAAATACCCGCGTCCTGCCTGCACCTGGAGAGGGGTTTAGGGTTAAGGTTTAGGGATTAGGGGTTTTGGGTTTTAGGGTTTAGGATTTATTATTCTACCCTGTGCGATGGGGCTCGGCAGCACTCCCTGTTTAGGGCTTAGGTTTGTACGCACCCTCAACCCTGCATACCCCCACCCCCACACCAACCCCATACCCACCCCCCCACACCAACCTCCCACCCCCCGCCCCCAACCCCCAAATAAATTGAAAATGATTTCAATAGTTCCTGGAAAGGCCCAGAGAGCAAAATGAGCTAAAATTGATGTTGAATGCTTTCATGATGGGAAGCAATTAAAACCGATTTTAATACTCTTTGGAGGGGTCCAGAGAGCAAAATGAATGAAAATCGATGTCAAGTTCTTCTGAAGCATTAATCCTTGGACCAGAGTACGAGTATTAAAATCAATCTCGAGTCGTCTCTAAGGCAAAATTCAAGATGGTAGTAAAACAGATTTCAACTGATTTGCTAACCGAATCAAGAGAACCTGGAAGCAAGTATTAACATCTGTTTTCATACGAGACTAACATCTAAATCCAGACTCAATCTACCAGAGGAGGGTTGGAGGTCGAGGTCTTGATCTTCTCCCAAACAGGGTGGAGAAACTAAACCCTAAACCCTAAACCCTAAACCCTGAACCCTAAACCCTAAACCCTAAAGTGCTTGAACCCTTGCTGTGGCCCCCGCAAGCAGCAAAGTCCTCACCTTTTTCGCCTTCGCTCGTTGCCCCCGAGGGTGCCCTCAAGGAGGGAGGCCTCGACATGGTGCACTCTAAAGCAGTCTTCAAGACGATGCTCTTAGGGCTTTGGTGCTTCAGCGAGTCTAGGGCTTACATACGTGCACTGCGAATCAAGCGCTGGCGGACGAGGAGTCGCATCATGGCAGATCGCACCTGCTCACTCGCGGTGAAGGCACCGACCAGATGTCCCGGGCAGGGGGCACCTGCGCTCCCCAAGTTGCACATGACAGCCTTGATGTTGTGCTATGGCCGTCATGCTGCAGGCTCCTACCGATAACCGCCAGCAGTGAGGAATCATAGCGAGAAAGGAACCAGCTGTAACTGCATACTGCACGGTGTCTGGCAAAGCACACCTGAAGGTTCAAAATCAGCGAAAAGCTTTGACCCAACCTGGCCGCCCCGACGATAACGACGATGGATGGTCTGCGCAGACATGCACAGGGAAGGAGTGCCGATCATGTCTTTACTTCATGGCTTTTCTGAAGCTATATGGGTATTTCCCCCAATAGAGGTACCCTTAAAATACCAATTAATTTTATCCTTCTGATAGCCCCCCCAAAAGGGTACCCCTATTTCCCTAAACACTAAACTCTAAACCCTAAACCCTTAAATACCCTTCTTATGCCCCCCCCGAAAGGGTACCCCCTATTTTCGGAAACACCCGTAATCGGGAAGCCTAGGGTTTAGGGTTTAGGGTTTAGGGTTTAGGGTTTAGGGTTTAGGGTTTAGGGTTTAGGGTTTAGGGTTTAGGGTTTAGGGTTTAGGGTTTAGGGTTTAGGATTTCGGGTTTGACCTGGCCGCCGGCACAGCGTCCATCAAGCAGCTGCCTGGACTTTGAGTTTCCCAAAAACCCGGTGAGCTTTGCGATGTCGAAAGTTTGACATCTCTATCGTGAAAGGTTCGCATGAGTGCGTCGAAACCTCAATGCGTTTCGGAGTTCCGAGCCAGGCATGAACTTGGACAAGGCAGATGATATGCGCAGGCTCTCTACTCAGGATTCTACTCATCAGGAACCTGCACCTGTTCGAGTTTGCACCCCGGAGCACCCGGTCCTCAAAGATTTGTCTGCACAACCCTGTTGCAAGAATGTTAAGTATCGAAGCATCCGGAGAGCTATTTGGCCAAATTGTTTCCCAACCATACAGACATGTATCGGACTCAAGTCATGTTCCCGTGCCTGTGCATCAACATGGGAGGCAAACGAGCGAGATCGCAGTTTTCTCACTCCTATCTTCGGATGCAAGATGACGAAAGATCAGCTGTGGTGGGACAAGGCTGAAGTTGCGAGTCATCGGCCAAAACCCCTGCCGGAAGCAGGCTACATCACCACACATCTGCCAGGAACTGCATACGAACTGCATAATACACGCAACCTTGTGCTTTTGCTGTGCTCCTTCACTACCTGTCTGTCAAGCTGTCTGAGATCCTCACGGCTGCGTCGAGAAGAGGCGAATGGCTCTATGCAACGCAACACATTCTCCGAGCAATTTCATACTCTATCCTACATCTCCTCCTCACAGTGTTTTCACCACATGGGACCCCGCAGGAACGCAGGACTACCTCATGCCTCCAGACAAGGCCACCGCGGGTGATAAGGTTTAACAAGGGTCGTGGAACCCAAGGGCTTCCAGCCACTTCTCTTCAGGAGCTCTTGTTCAGCTTGAAGAGCCGGCGTGTAAAGATAGCCCTAAACCCTAAACCCTAAACCCTCGTGGGGTTTGCAGCCGGAGGAATAACGTTCGCGCTGGGGCGGCATGCACCTGCCGGATGCTATGAAGTTGCCGGATGTTGCGCACGGAATTTGGGCGGTCTCTTCGAAAACTCCACACAGTAGAGAAGTTCTGTTGGTAAGCCTAAACACTGAACCCTGAACAAGCCATGGGCTAAACGCGCCGCAACGCAGGAACCACTGGGGTTCATAGGTCGCCATTCTTAGCCTGCTTCCTCTAAACCCTAAACCCTAAACCCTAAACCCTAAAGGCTCAGGTTGGGCCCTGGCAGCCTCAGGTCCTGGCTAACGGCCTCCCCCACTTTGGCCTCCCCCATTTTGGCCTTCCAGTAGGAGGTCACTGGAGAAAAAGCTTAGGGTGTCATCCAGCATGAAGTGCTTAGGAGTGCAAGCCCGCATGGCTGTCGAAGTCCGAGTCTGCGGATGAAGGTGCTAGACCCCTGCACATTTCGTAACTGTGCCATGATGTCAGCTTCTGGCGAAAGTGAACCCTAAACCCTAAACCCTAAACCCTAAACCCCAGCTCTTCTGGTTCTGGGCGGTTCGGGCTTAAGATTTGGCTTAGGAACTCGGGCATGCTGTGAAGAGATGTTCGAACCCAACCCTACAACAAACCCTACAAACCCTTCGAAGCCAAACCCGACAATCTACACTTATCTAAACCCTCAAACCATAAAACCACACAACCAAACAACCGTGGCTGCATGCCCTCAGCTCTCTGCGCATCGGCGCCGACCAGTCTGTCTTCTTTTGTCTGGCCATACCTTTTGAAAGGCTCCTTCCTTGTTTTTCTGTATCAGCACCGGGCACATTTGTGCATCGTGTATTTGTCGTGTCTGGTGCTGTTTGTCTCACCGCAGGTTCATGTTATGTTTCATTGTTTCGCGGGCGCGGTACTGCCGACTTAGGGCTCCCGTTTTACATTCCCCTACCCACTCAATCTGCAGCTGCCGTTGCCACTGCCGCTGCTTCACTTGAATTTCACGGCCACAGCATCACCACCACCATTACCGCTGAGTTTCTGACCTCACTCCAGTCCACACTTCTCCACATTCAACAAAGACCTTTTTTTGCACACGAAGCTTGCTCAGAGCAGGTCTACAGCACGGGCGCCACTTTGCGGTGCTTCAAAAGTCCATGTAAACTATGTGCACTTAGGTCTCTGGAGAGCCTATCGGCTGCTTCGACACCTGAACTGCAGGCGCTCGCACTCAAGGTGATGATGGAGGGCCGATGACCTGCAGGCGGTTGCTTGGTCGCAGCTGTCAACAAAGCCCCGAAGTCCCAAGGCCTACAAGGCCCGGGAGAGCCGAGTGCTTATGGTATGTGCAAGGTAGGTGAGCACGCCCTGGGCAAAGAAGGAGAGGGGTTCACAGTGGGCGCACACTGTGCCAGTTGGCCCCTGCTTCACGTGCAAGGGGGAGCGTGCGCCAGCGCATGCGCCAGCATGCGTGCCAACAAGTACGCCAGCACCCTAGGGCTGCAAAGGTCATGGGCCTTGCCTTGGCCTTGCTGCGCCACGCTGCGCCATGACCTTGCCAGCTTCGGGCCGTTAAGTGTCCTCCAGCATCCCTGCTTCACAGTGATGCAATGAGATCCGGTCCCACAGCTGCACCCGAGAGACCCTGAAGCTCCAAAACCTCACCTTACCCTTCCTTTACCCCCTACAACCCTAAAACCCGAAGATCCTAAGACCCAAATACGCCCTCAACCCTTAACCCTCAAAACCTTCAAAGCACTGCCCCTCAAAGCTACACATCCTGAAACCTTCCGGCCCCAACCTTTCTTCCGGAGACTTTCATCACTGCAAAAAAGAAAGACAAGCCCTAAAAGGTTCTTAAGAACAACTCTTTTGATGGCAATAACCAATAATGACAACCTGCGACCTGGGATCCTACGACTTCGAAGCAGAAACCGCTGAGCTAACCACGACCCGAAGCC